GTGCCCCTGATGCGGCGGCGCGGTCGTTGGCTGCAAGGCGCGTGGTGGTGCGGCTGGCTGGCGGCGTCCACTCCGCCCAGATTTGGGCCCTTTTGGGCCCCATCTGGGTTGGAGCGGGCCGGCGGTCCGATGTGCGGCGGTGTGGCTCTCTGGTGGTGGTGGCGAGGCATCGGGGGGTGCGGGTGGTGGCGGCTTTGTTGGCCAACGTGCTGCAGTGTGGCAACAGGGGCTGCCCTGACCCATTTGGGCTCGGTCGGGCCAGTAGGGGCCTGGTAGGCCCCTGTCGTCACGTCTGGTCGGCTTCGCGGCAGCGACGAAGGTTGTCCCCTCTCATCGGCTGAGTTGCGGATGCCCCCGAGCCCCTTGGCTCCTCTTCCCTCCTCCAGATCTCGTGTCGGTGGCCTCAGGAGACGACGAAGTTGGTTCAGTGAACGTGGTGGCAAAGGCTGGTGGGCGGCAGGTTGGTTGGTACACTTCAGATCGTCCGGGGTGGTGGTGGTTGTGTTTGGGTTAGTGAAATCCCTGGCGGCTCGTCCAACATCGACGTGGTGCAGCCTGCAGGCGCCGCCGGACCTCCCTAAAGGTCGTCGGGTATACGCCTTCCCCACTGTCCTCTACGTTGTCAATAGTCAAAGACGGTCTTGAAAAACGTACTAGACCCTGTATAGATGGAAGGAGGGAGTATGTAAAATTTGACATGCAACAAATACAAATTTTTAAAAGCCCGTGGCAACGCACGGGCAGTCTACTAGTAAATATAAAAATCTAAATTGCATTGATTTCCTTTTAAACCAGCGTACAACACCTCTATATCTCCGATTAGAATATTCCCTTGTAAACTCATCCATGCGTACAACCTTGTGGCCTGAGTATGCACGGCTCAAGGACCGATGAGATCCATGCAAGTAGTACTCACGTTGTAGTTTTCCATTACCATATAACTCAGTTCGTTTCTTATCTCCCGGGACCAAATCAAGAAATACACCGTAATTGCATGCGCTCAGAACAAAACAAGAATGATTGTTCAATTATTTGACCACTGAGCCATCTTCACTCAACTGAAAATAATTAGGAGCGTAGATATTTCGCTGTATTGATCCCTCGACATCACTAGCATCAACGTCCGTATCACTTCTTCCTTCCTGCTCTGGTGTTCAAAGACAGTTTCAAGGAAGCTGATGCTCATAGGGCTGTTAATTTGTATCAAATGTACAAATTGGCTTGTATTGGAATCTTGACTTTCGGGCCTCAAATTTAATTGATCGATCAACCTTGAAAACCTATGAGCACTGTGCTTGTGAACATCTTAGCCTACTCCAAACAAGCCTATAAATCTTAGGCAGCAGCGAGTCGCAAACTTAATTGATCGAACCACAGCAACGTGTGAAGTTATGCAACACGGAACATTGTCCAGTACAACACTTGAAACATAAGGGGATGATTACCCCCCAAAAAAGAAACATAAGGGGATGCAAACATCGATCCAAACAAACGATGTGAACAAAAGCAAAGGAAAAGAAACAGCAGCAGATCATGCATGAAACCACACAGGGAGCAAGCAAGAAAAAGGCAATCACTTCTACGTAGTCCTCGCACTCGTCAATGCGTATTAGCAAACCACTAACGCATGCATGGGGGCGTTGACACGATGCTTCGCCTCGTTCAGATGGCAGCAGAGGAGCCATGGTGATGGTGGGTGGCGCCGGTGATCATGCCGCTCCACAGGCCGAGCCCGCCCAGGGAGCTGATGGAGGTCTCTGTCGGCGCGCGGCTCGCCTCGCCGCACCACTCCAGCGACAGCAGCCTCTCCGCCTGCGGCTTCATCTCGGCAACGACACTGTCACGCTCAGCCCGCGACGTCGCGCCACCAAATGGAAGCGCAAGGTGCTCGCCAAGCCCGGCTGCATACCGGAGCGCGTTCAGTGCGTGGTACTCCGCGCCGCCACCGCCGCTTCCGTTGGCAATGCCCATCATGCCTGGCCCGGTGAAGTGAGCCTCAGAGTTCGCGCTCTCAAAGCCGCCGGAGCCCGAGAGGATGTGGTCGTACTTCCAGTCGAAGAGCCCGAGGCTGCAGAGCGGGTCGGTGGCCGAGACCGCCGGCGGCTGCATCCCGGAGAAGGACAGGTGGAGTCCGGTCTCTGCCATGTGTCGCCCGTGGTGAAGCTGCTGCATCATCGAAATCGGCGGCGTGATGGCGGCGGCAGCAGAGGGCTTCTTGGCGGCGCTGGCGCGCTTGTTCTTGCGGCAGCCGCCGCCGACGGGGACGTTGCGGAGGGAGCCGCCCTTGGTCCAGTAGCGGCGGCACGTCTTGCAGAAGTAGCGCGGCTGGGAGAGGCTGTAGTTGTTGTAGTAGCAGAACTTGGTGTGCGTGGAGTCGCAGCGCGGGCACTTGAGCGGCTGGTCGTGCTGCGGGCGCAGCCGGCGGTCCGCCGCCTGCTGGGCCTGCATCGGCTCCGGGCACGCGATGATCAGCTCCTCCGACGGCGACGACGACCCCATCCCGCCCTGGTCCTCGGGAACGATGCCCTGAAAGCAAAAGGCACACACCAGATCAACGTCAGCACGTTGTCGCAGTGTGATCTGTAATCATCATTAGCTGTGGCATGTGACAGAAGAATGGAAGCCTCGGAATGCGCGAAAGCGTCTTGGCCAAGCTGCTAGCTGCATGCATGCATGGTCCCATGCATGTCGCAGCAAGCTGCATGCAGACCAAGCTAGGGTTTCTCAAAGGGTAAAGCTTGCGACACCCATGGCGCTTCATGATGGAAGCATCAAGTAGGTCCAAGTTCTAGATCGATCTGGGGCCGATCCTATGGTATACGTACTTTTAGACTCAGACTGATCACTTGCTTTCCATCACATGCAAAAGTAACAAGGGGTGTGTAGATTTCTTGAGGGCCATACGTAGTGTACTTGGCGACTTGGTCTTGATCTCTCCACCATTCTCCATGCATTTCTCATGATTACTCGCAACTCTAGATCCTTAAGAGTGATCATAGTCTAGCTTGTTCCTAGTTATACATATACAGTTAATTTATGTCAAATATACAATGTTTTATGCAGAGTTGCAGACTGTATGCATTGGTGTGTTGTGCCCTAGCTATCATCCCATCCGAGCTTAATTCAACGACATGAATGTTACTCCTCCCATTCGTAGTGGATACAGATTTTTTTAGAGGAACATTGAACAAGTTTATAAACAAAACTACATATATTGAATACAAATATATATCGTTAGATACATCCTGAGACACTTTTGTTATGTTAGGTGTTGCAGATATATATGGATGATTTTTCTCTGTAGACTTGGTCCACTCTAAAAAAAACAATATGCAATACATTATGGAACATAAGTAGCATGAGAGTTACCCACAGAGTTCAAGCCAAGTCTCCTTAAAAAAAGGCTATTCTACTCATAATGTACTATTGTGCTAAATCTGCCTCCGCTCCAAATGCCGTTGTTTCTCCGCATTAACATTTTTACCTTTCAAGGAGAGGCAGAATTTATGTCATGTTCAAAAGTTAAAGTGAAACTTATCAGATGATCAAGTTGTACTTGTTTGAATCTATTTATCTTGTCGTTGCTTTTGCTTGCAATACATGTGGGTCTCTGGTTAGCTAGTCGATAGCTACCATTCACTTTTCACAGTTTCTTAAAATGGACACGCACTAAAACTACTAATGTCTGGTAGAATGCCCGCTTTTGTTGCATCTTTTGCTTGTTTTCCTTTTAAAGTTTCTTTGTGTAACAAAGCTATGGAAACAAAATGTTTAGTGTGTCTTAAAATGTGGTATTTACACTGGTGAGAAATATCCATTCATGGTCCAAAGCTGAAACAACCGGATGCTGTTTACATGGATGATGGAACAGTGCATATTTCTCACACATATCTCCTACAGTAAATTTGGTCAGCTCACGTAGATACTACGCATCTCACAAATTAACTAGGGTCTGTCTAAACAAATTAACTAGGGTGGTATCCAATAAAATCTTGTTTCCCCCTCACCCTTCCACAAATCTCAATGCAGAGACATCAGACTGTTTAGGGTGTCGACTTAGACGTAATTAAGAATATCTGAAGCGACTTAGATTTAGCAAAATCATACTAATAATTAAGTGATGCTCTTACCAGCAGTACATACTCGTGAAAACTGTTCAGGTAAAGGAAAAGTTTTAGAACCTCTGTGAAACAAAAGGTACGAACGAAAGATTTTTTTTTAGAAATACAGACTAACCTTATCAACGAAAACTACATGCGCTACTAGCTAGTATGAATACCACAACTGACTAAGAGAATTTGCATATGTTCGTTCATACTACATGTGATCAACGACGACAGGAATTTTTTTTCAATTCTAGCTAATCAAGTATCAGGATCCAGCTGCCTGTAGATCTGCAGCGCCTAGGTACGTACAGTATCAAATAGGTAGATCTGTGAAGCTATATATTGAGTCATTAATTCTCCTCCAACAGTCTTTATAATTGATTTGGATGCAGAATACACCTACTAGCGTGACGCTTGTTTCTTCCTATGCTGCTAGGTCAATTAATCACAACTTCGATCTCCTGTATATGTAGATCCTACAACGTGTATATGGGTAGACTGGAAAACGAAAGCAGTGGTTATTTTCTGAAGGCTGCACGGTAGCTAGAGTAGCTGCATGTACACACCAGCGTATGTGAACACGGTCTCATCTCAAGATGAGGAGATGGAGACAAAAATCACGTTGATCGCGCAAAGCCAAATCAAACCAAGTGCTAGTTGATCACGCAAATCAAAACAAAGTGCTTGTTAATTACAAGCACGATAGGTGTACATATATATGTGGGTGACATACCTTGAGCCAGTCGGAGTCCATGCAGAAATGCATCGGATGAGCTGCGCCTGCCATCATCGATCGCCCGGGCTTCCCAATCAAGCAGTCAAGGCACCCCAAAGATGCGGCAACCTCACTGCCAGCCGCTATCTATGCACGTAGCCCCGGCAAATCGAAGATCCAGCAGCAACTCAAACCTAGATACGATCGATGGTCTACACCTACTGCACACGCACGCGGCCTGCTTGTTCTCGTTTCGTTATTTGTCGACGGGTTTCAGGGCGATTGGCTAGCTAGCTAAGAGGAGGCGGATTCACCGATTAGTAGCTAGGAAGAACATGAAGATGAAGAGGAGGGCGGGGTGTGGATCGACACATCGATGCTGGACAGGAGAAGAGAAGCTGTGGAGAAGGAAGAGGAGATATGAGGCGGGGAAGCTGGTGGGCTGCGGCGCTACTGGTAGTTGGTGAGAGACGTGGAGGAGGGGGGAGATGTGAATAAGAAGGGAGCGAAAAGCAGCGGAGCCATGGCCAAAGCCCCAGCCGGATGGAGGGCGGACTGGAACGAGC